TGCATACATATGCAAAACTGTATCAACCCATAAATTTAATATTTGTACATTCACTATATGTAAATTACACCCCAACAAACCAATTATCTTGAAGGGAAAAAACTCCAGGGGCATTATTAAGTTAATGTAAGAAACATGACTATAAAAAGTATTATAAGTTACAGGAAAACTTACTACCTTGGATATGGAATACCTTTAGCAGCAAGGCACAAAAGGCAGAATAAATATTTATGTCCATTTGCAATTCCATTCAATTCAACAAATTTTAGAGACAGGTATGTGGTAGGCACTTGGGATACAAGAGTAAGTAAAATAAAGGTCTTTCATTAAGAAACTTACATTCTGACAGAAGGTAGTGGGCAATGTTGGTGCTCCACTCAAACTTTCTGGGACCCCTTTTTCTGTTTGGTGTAATCCTTCCAAGCCTCATTTTGCTCCTGATTCTAACAGCCCACACTCCTAGAAATGCTTGAGTAGAGAACTAGAAGTGCCTCAGAATTGAGTCCCCTTACCTTCCCAATTGAAGGGTGCAACATTACCAAATCATAACTCCTTTATCTCATGTTGGGAAAACTTTAAGTAGGAATTACACTCCAGAATTCTGTGGGACCTAGTTAAACCTTTCCTCCCTCTGAGATTTCACCCTCACTTGGATTCTTCCTCTTCCTTATTCTGATTCTCCCATAATTGTGCTTCAGCTTTTAAGGACCCAATTTTAGTACATGGTCTTCCTTAAAAATGGTAGCAATAATTTTTCTTATTATTCTTGCTTTTCCAGAATTTAGGTACTCTCTATTAAGAAGTGGATTGTAGCTGGGAACAATGGTGCACACCTGCAATTCCATGCTGAGGCTCGAGGATTACAAGTTTGAGGCTAGCCTGGGAAATTTAGTGAGACCCTTCTCACTAAAAAAAAATTCTAAAAATTAAAATGGGGATGTATCTCAGTGGTAGAGTGCCCCTGCATCCAATCCCCAGTACCACTAAAAGAAATAAAATAAAAGAAGTGGAATCTGTGTCCCCTACTCTGGAAGTTGGGTAGGACATCAGAAGGGACCCTGACTTCTGAGGCTGGGACAAACAAGGAATTTTAATTAGCTTTTCATCACTATGACCAAAATACCTGGCATAAACAACTTAAAGGGGGAAAGATTTATTTTGGCTTATGATTTCAGGGATTTCTGTTCATGGTCACTTGGCTTCATTGTTCTGGGCCTGAGGTGAAGCAGGACACCATAATATAAGGGTAGAAGAAAGATGCTCAGCTTATGGCAGCCAGGAAGAGAGAGGAGATAGGAAACAAGAAATAATCTTCCAGGGCAAACACCCAGTGACTATTTCCCCAACTATTTCCCACCTACCAGTAGTCCATTCAACTATCAATGGATTAATCCACTTATGAGTCTTCATGATCCAGTCATTTCCCAAAAGCCCCACCTCTGAACATTGCTGCAATGGGGACCAAACCTTTAAAATATGAGTCTTTGGGGGATACTTCATATTCAAGTCTTGCTACACAGCCACCATCATGCTGTGAGGAGGCACGTGAAAAGGAATCAAGGCACCTCAGATTCTGCTAAAATGTCCCAGCTGGCAGTGAGCACAAAATTTGAAACCTTGTGTTAACATCTCTCAGAAGTAGATTCCTCTATCCCATCCCTCCAGCTCTTGATTTAACCATTGAACCAGTGCCACATGAGTAGACATGAGCCTTACCCCCAGGGACTGTCCAAATTTGAGATATGTGTGCAAAAGAAATGAGTGTTGTTGTTTTAAGTCACTAACTTTGGGAGTGGTTTGTTATGCCATGGTAGTTGCAAGTATGTTAAACCAAAGACATACGTGAGATAGCAAATAGAAAAAAATGAACCAAATTTATATGCTGTACTCTATTTTAAAGATGACTGATATGGTACAGATAGAAAGAGCAGCAGGACAAAGAATTGGTTATACATTGGTCTGTGAGGGGCCAGCTGCTTTATGGACAAGGATGAAGTGAAAATTGAGCAGAATTGAAGGAGTTGAAGGCCAAGGCAGAGAGAACAGAACAAAATGCCCTCATTCAGCAGAAACCCTGGAATACTGAAGGCACAGCTGAGGGGCTATTGTGGTTGCATGGAGTAAGCAAGAGACAGTAGGGTAGAGGGATAGAGAGGTAATGAAGGACCCACAGATTATAATAGGCCCTTGCCTACATGGTAAGGATTTTGGCTGATATTCTGAGTGAGAACAGGGCTTGTGAAGAAAATCGTGTAGGATAGACATGTGATCAAGCTTACACCTTGAAAAGAAAGATTTCAGTAGCTTCTCTATTGAGAATTGACTGTAAGAGGTCTAATGTTAGAATCAAGGAAACAAGGTAGGAGGTGACTGGACTCAGTCAGGTAATAGAAGATTGTGGCTCAGAGCAGAGTGGCAGCAGAAATGGTGAGATGTGTTTGGATTCCAGATCATTTAGACATAATGACAGAGTTTGCTTAAGGATTGGATGTGGGCCAGGAGAGAAACAGAGGAGCCAAGGGTGACTGCAGGGTGTTTTGCCTAAGCAATTGGCAAGACAGGCTCCACTGCCATAAACGCAGGATGGAAAGACTGTGGGTGGAACAGTCCTATGATAGGGTTAGGGACAGAGACCGGGAGTTCTTCAGCCCCACTCAGGCCTTCCGTGGAAAGTGGGAAAGCCCTACCTCAGAGCACTCTCAGGTTGGGTAGGAGGAAGAGTGCCCAGGTAGACTGGATTGTCTGGGGAGGCTGAACCAAGTACTCTTCTTTAGCCAAGAGGGCTAAGAGACTTGACATGCCAAGTAGGCACCTGGATATTGGGTCTGGAATTTGGGGGAAAGTGTGGGCTGGAAATGCACCTTCGTGAGCCAGTACAAGGCATTTAAAGCCCTGACCATGGGTGGGCTTACCGAGGGAAGTCAGAGTGCGTTCAGAAGGGTGTGTGGCCCAAGCGTGCAGCCCTGGGCTACTCAGAGATCAGAGAGGAGAAGAGGCTCTGGCAGCAGGGTGGGAGGGAACCCAAGAGTGTCTCAAGGAGTCCTGCAGCCTGAGGAAGGACCCCCTCCGGGTCAAGAAGGGGAGAGCGGCCTTCTCTGCAGCTGCTCAAGGAGGATAGCACACTCCCTGGGTCTGGCAATGAGCTCACGGAGACCTAAACAAGAGAGGTCTGGGTGGAGGAGGTTTGGGGCTAGAAGGCCATGGGAAGGGGGCAGTCCGTACAGTGAGTCTAGACTACTCTTGGGAAGGGGCTGCATGCTGGCCGTACAGAGTAGAAAGCTCCATAATTGGAAGGTGCTGGGAGTCGAGGTGAATTGGTGGGTTTGTTCAGAGGTGAGAGATTTGAACCATGAGCTTCCCACAGGGGCTGCAGGGAGTGGATGGGCTGAGTCAAGCAGGACAGAAGAGCCCAGCTGGGAAGTGGGGGGCTTTGATAGGGAGAGCTGGGCCTTCCCCTTGAGTCCAGATCCAGGGGACTCTTCTCCTCCAGATTCTCGCTGCCCTGGACAGGGATGCGTCTTGTCGGAAGCACAAGTTGCGCCAGAAGCTGGAGCAGATCATCAGCCTCGTGTCCAGCAACGGCTGAGGGTGGTGGAATTGGTGGGAGGGGGCTTCTCAGTCCTGAGCTAAGCTGTCCACCGCCCCCATCAAGGGGTGTGGCTGGCTCCAGCCTGAGTATCTGGGGCAGAGCCCCAGATCAGGTGTTGTGGGGAAGATCATTGAGCCAAGATGCCCCCAGCACACCTGGGCCCCCTTCATTAGTGCCTTGCTTTGGGCCCTGCACGGGGAGGGGATAATGGGACCATCCCCCCCCAGCAGCAATACCCCCTCCCTCCTGCCCATGTGTTGGGATAGCCCCGCCCTCTGTGCTATTTATACCCCAACCACCTATTTATTAAATTTGATTCCACATCGATTTCCATCTGTAAGTATGTGTCCCCATGGAGTGTTGCCAACCTCACTCCCGATTTGCCCAGGCCCACCTCAGCTTATCCTCCACTGGGGAGGTGGAAAGTTGCCATGAAGCAGTATGGCAGTTAGTGTCTGTGCTCTGTTCAAATCCCCCAGGGAATTAATTCACCACTCCACAAACTCCTTAGAATCTGTCACTCCTTGCTTTCCAGGTTCGATCTCCCATGTGCCTATCAAGTGTTAGCCCCCACTTGTTAAGTTGGGGAGTTGAGGCAAGCTGGAAGATACTAGGAAAAGAAGATAGCATTTGAAAAGACCTGGGTGTGAAACAGAACATGGATGATTAGTAGCAAGCTTGCCTGGGGCTATTCTGGGCCAAGGTATCACTCTTCTCAGAGCTGCAGATATAATAAATAACCCAGAAAAAAGGAGGTTGGGTGGTTATAAGAGTCTGAGGAGTTAATATTTGAGAAGGACCTGAAGGAGATCAGAGTGAGTCAGGTAGAACCCTGGGGAAATAGTTATTTTCAGACAGGAAAGATCCAGTACAAATGGAATGAATCTGACATAATTTGATGCAGAAGTGGACCTGGTATGTTTCATGGAGAAGGAGGTTAGTGTGGGTAGATCAGTGTAAGCCAGGGGAAGATTGGGAGGGGAGGTCAGAGTCAATCACATTAGACTTTGCAGGGCACCAAAAGGGCATCTAATTGACTCTGAGTAAGAGGGGAACTCATGGAGGGTTTGGGATGGTGGAGTAATGCAACCTAACCTGGGTTTTAAAGTAGCTCAGCAGCCTCCACTGTTCATCTGTGGATTCAGGACAGATGACTGATTCTAGTCTTAGCTGGGTGTTGGATGGACAATCACACAAAGTTTGATGTACTATACATCAAGAGCTTCAGACAAAAAAAACCCTATTATCCAGAGGGTTCCCCGGAAACATTTAGCAGACTACTGATTAGCAATTGCATGTGAAAAAACTAACTCCCTTTCCAGACAAAAACAAAAGCAAGAAAATTGGGAGATAGGGTATCTGAAAAGAAACTCAAACATGGAATTACTGCTCAACTTTATTTTCTGCAGTAATAAACATTTACTTGTGTTCCCCCTCCAACAACTGCGTAACAAAGCAAGTGACAAGTGTAAGCAGAAAAACTAGGCTTCAAGAATAAAGTGGCAATCAATCCAGAAATCAAAGTCCTAGGGAAATATACACTGTCTGACCTGGGACATGAGGATTCAGCCCCCTTTTCCTAGCAGAGATGCAGGAGGAAACAGTGGCCCAAAGTGCTGCATGGTTCGCAACAGCTGGGAAAGGTGGTCAAGAAAGGAGGTGAATGAAGTCTGGAGGCTGCGAGGGTCTTCAGCAATCCAACTACTAAAAGTGAGAGAAAATTAAAATCGAGTTAATAATGGGAGCTGTCACCCACATCCAGGCAGCATACCCTCTCTTTAGACCTAACACTCTATCTCCATTAAAATGCCCCTCCATCCGAGTGCTTGTGGATACCCTCCCACCCAATCCCTTCTAGGACTGACACAATCAGGAAGCTGCCATCCACTGTGAACTCTCTGTGAACGGCAAGGTGTTCTTCATAAGTAGCCAGGGATCGTTCAGCAACCTCCGCTTCTATGGGACACAGGAAAGGTACTCTGAGGGTGCTGGTGGAGAATTGGTTAAGGCATGATCCTCTATTGACTTTGCCTCTGCTTCAGGCCTCCTTGACCCACTATGCCCACTTTCTCCCAGGCAGCCCTCAGGCTAAACCTAGGTCCACCCCAGTGAACTCAAGCCTCAGCCTCCTTCCTGAAAATTTCCTCAATCCAACCCTCACACGATGCCTGCCACACTCCACTCCATCTTCTCAACCCAGCATTTTTCCTTCTGACTCCCTTTGGGACTGTTTATCATCCTCCTGTATTCTCAAGTCATCCACACATGTCCCCCTGTCCTCTCAGGCCACATTGGACTTCGTCTAGCCCCCTTGGGCTTCTCCTTCAAGATATTATTGATCTTTGCCAGGTTCCACTTTCTGAATCCCTGTTCCGCCCCACCCTGATGTCTCTTTGGTCTCTTCCAATCTCCTAAACTCTACTGTCCTACTAAAGGATACAATTCATGCAGGTGCCTACCCTGCCTTCTGGCCACAGGCAAGGCTCTGGCAAGAGGTACCAGCCCAACGTGTGGAATACCTCCAATATTGGCACGCTCAGCACCAACGCCAGCAGCCACACCCAGGACATCCTGGATTTCAGGGCCACCCTGGCCAGCAAGGATTCTATGGCCGCCCTGGCCATCTTCATGCCCCTCTGCACCACCAGTACCTCCTGCACTGCCACCTGGGGCCTCCATGGCTACAGCAGCTTCGCCCTCACCAACCTCAAACACCACCAACCGCCTCCCTCGCGCTGCGGCCAAGTAATAAAGAACCCTACGAAACTCCACCCCCTTCCCCCACAATGCAACTGGACACACCTATTACGCCTGCGCAAAGAGGCCCATGTGCAGGTGGGCTCTCCCCTAGCTGGTGCTGCAGCACACCCCTCTCCAAGCCTCTTGTTTTCCATGCCAACCACCACGTTCACGGAGCACCTCCCCTTAGCCCATGGGACACCCGAGTATGCTTCCATAAATGGATCCCTACATGCTTCCTTGCCTCCAAGCTGGTCCACCCAGAAGTCCCAGAGATCCCCTAGTCTACTGACGGAATCAATGCCCCAGGAAGTACAGCCTCGTGGTATGTGCAAATGAGCACTGCCTGGGTTGTGGAGACACACAGGTGGTCACTGGACTTACGGTAGCTCCCTTCAAGCCTGACCTGACCCTGAAAAATTATGCCTATGCTCATGGGAGCAACCTCATTGCTGACCACCTTGCTGACTGGTCCCCTGTCCACAGTCCCTGGGGCTGGGGCAAACCTTGATCCTCCAGTGATCTTTATCACTATCAAAGAGTTTTGGGGGGGTGGATTAATTCACTGGGGGGGTTTGAACAGAGCACAGACACTATCTGCATACTCCTTCATGGCAACTTTCCATCTCCCCAGTGGAGGATGAGGAGGGCCTGGACAAATTGGGAGTGAGGTTGGCTGAGGTGGGCCAGGAAAATCAGGAGCCGGGTTGGCAACATTCCATGGGGACACATATTTAAAGATAGAAATCAAGGTGTAATTAAATTTGATCAATAGGTGGTTGGGGTATAAATGGCAAGGAGGACAGGGTTATCCCAAAACATGGGCACAAGAGTAGGAACCAGGGGCATTGCTGTTGCTGGAGTGGGGCTTGGTCCCATCACTTCCTACCCATGCAAGACCCTGGTAACTAATGAAGGGGGCCCAGGTGTGCTGGGGTGTGGTGAGCCGCCTCTGCCGCTTATGCAGATTATGATCGCCATTACAAGATGGCGCTGGCTCCGCTGTGGTTTGTGACAAACAACTCCTTATTTGGGAGAGTTGGCGCATGGCTTTTCAGCACCCTATGAGAAAGTTCCACGTGGCAGCTTCGCATTGGGGCTTGAGATGCTATATTAAGGCTGGGAGGGGCATCCGAGGGATCAGTAGAAGAAATATCAAGGGCCTGAATAAACCCCTGAAAGAAGATTCCCGAGTTGCGTCTTCCTTGCGGGCAAGGGGTCGCGACACTGGGGGTTTTGTGTCCTGGAAACAACAGCCGCAGCCCCGGAATCCACCTCTCAGCAGGTAAAGTTAGGATCCCAGGCAGCATTGCAGTTTACTAACATTCAGAATGCGTTTCCGAATTGGGTTTTCTCGGGATCTCCAGACTTTGGTTGGCATGCACCAAGAGACCCTACTGGTAAGGTCCAGGAAAAGGCCAGGCTGGAGGGTCCCTTCTGGGTCTGTCAAGATAGAGCTGTGTGGCCCCCAGGCTCTAGGTTACCAGAGAACATCAAAAGCTGCCAACCAATATGGCAGCCTTGGTTTAGAGCAAAGGACTGTGCTGGGAGGGCTGGGGATGTACCTCAGTGAAAGACTAATTGCTCAGCATGTGTCAGGGCCTGGGTTCCATCCTTAGCACCCCAAGAAAGAAAAAAAAAAAATAGAGTAAAAAGTTGGACTGGGCTGGGCTGGGCTGGGCTGGCATAGCTCAGTGGTCAAACACTCACCTGGCACGCACCAAGCCCTGGGTTCAGTCCCCAGCACTGCCAAACAGATCCAAACAAAAAGCAGAAATATAAAAGGCAATATGCTAAAAAATGGTGCTGGGAGCTTCACATACGTGTCTCGTTTCTCACTCATCTTTCAGGAGAATGTACGAGGGAGTGGTCCACAGGCAAGGACACCAAAGCTCAGTGAGGTGACATAACTGTCCAGACTTCACTCTGCTAGAGTGAGGCAGAAGTGGGTCCGAATTCAGCTGTGTCTCACTCCAGAGCTCCTGTCCCTGGTGACCATCTCAACTGTCACCATTTAGAATCCTTTAAATACTTGTGGATGGCCTTCCATATGGAGGATGCAATTTAATTCCGAGGAACAAATGATGCTCTGAGACAGAGCGAGAAATGCTAACTCTGGAAGTGGTGACTTGCCGGACGTTACATGGCAACCATAATGCAGAAGAAGTTCAGCATTTCCCCAGATTCCACTTATGGCAGGTGGGGAGTGATAGTAGCAGATGCTGGTTATGCTGGGGGTAGGTGGTTATGTTGGGAGCACATCCCAGTTCTTAGCAATCTGCAAAGCAAGGCAGGGTGAGTCCAGAGCCCAGAAAGCTGGGTTCTTCCCCTCAAATGCCCCTACTTTCCTGATAGCAGCATCTGGCTTACAGAGCAAATAGTGGAAGTGACCTGCTCTGTCAGGAAGGAAGAGACCACAGACAAAGCCAGGCCAGCGATACTCTGATACTAATGACTCAGGCCACCATGTGTAGAGGAGGAGGCCCAGCCCCACTTCACGTGGTGCACCCGGTGCAAGGACTGCTGTTGAAGATTGATTCCAAAGGCTCGGCACTGGAATGTAGGGCTATGACAGAAATCGAGAGGAGACCCATCCATACGGTTCAGCAGTAACACTATACGTAGGCCAAGGGGTGGGTGGATGTGCTTGTTGGGGAGCATTTGAGGACACAGGAGTCTAGACAGGCAGTGGGAGGTGGGGACAGAAGGAGTAGAAGGGGTGCTGGCGATGGGCAAGGGTCTGGATTGAGATAGCTTTATGGAGGGGATGGCATTTGAGGAGCTTGAAGACCTGAGTCCAGGATGCATAGGGGATGGATTCTAGGAGACCATTTCAAGGCAGAAGTGGGATCAGGCATTTGGTGATTGTGACATGGTACACAATGCCCGGTTGCTCATCAGGGTCGTGTTTCCCACAGCCTGGGAGAGAGGAGGCATCATATGAAGGTTGAAGTAGCCGACCCCCATGTCATGCATGGATGACACTTGGGGTGACAAGTTCAGTGATAATTCACTTTGGTAGTGGTGGCCAAAGTCTGAATTATCCTAATTTGGGCTTCGTCCTATCAAGTGTGCGGCATGTGGAAAAAACAGAGACATAATCAGAGGGGTTCGTATCCTCATAATTCCTTGTCTTAGTTATCTTGTTCTTCCAAATAAGTATTTAGGATCCTCTCCTGGTGTGCAGGTCCGGAGAGACTCCAAAGAAGGACCAGAAGTGTCTTCCACTGGTGGAGCTTGCTTTGCTCTAGAGGAATGGACCCAAGGCTTTACTCTGCAAGTGTCACTGGATAGTGGGTTGTTAAGAGTGAATTGTATGGTCTTTTAACTTCTTGGTGCCCTTTTCTTCAGGTCCTCAGGTCCACCAGGATGGAAGGGGCAGAGTGGCTCGTAAGTCAGGTGGGCAAAGCTGGAAAGAGCACAGGGACCCAAGATAGTTAACATCTGACCCAACCGTACGTGTCGTTCAATTATGGCTTTGTTTTCTAATTTAAAAGGTGGAGCGGTGACCACAGAAGCTACAAAGGGTCTTCCATCAATAAAGACCATATCCCAACTGCCAGTTCATTCATGCCACAACATGTCCCTTCATGTAGGTGTTTTGAGACTGGCTTCAGCCAGGCACAGTGGCTCATGCCTGTAATCCCAGTGACTTGGGAGACTGAGGCAGGAGGATCGCAAGTTTGAAGCCAGCCTTGGGAACTTAGTGAGACCCTGTCTCAAAATAAAAATTCAGAAGGGCTGGGGATGTAGCTCAGCGGGAAAGCACCCCTGGGTTCAGTCCCCAGTGTCCCCAAACCCCCAAACAAAACAACCTGCTGAGGCACAGGTACCCTACTGGCCTGTCCCAAGGTGGACTTTTCTGCCTTATGTAAGATGTCTCTGAGTGACTGCTCAGACACAGCGTGTCCATCCTTTGGTTGTTTGTTCCAGTTGTTTGAAGAAAGAAGCTAGAGGTCCAGGACAATCTCCAAGCACCTGAACAAGTAGACATACAACTATGTCTTGTTTTTCGTGGACTTACAACTTGGAGTACTTTCGAGACTCAAGCCACCCTAAGGCTATGCTGATGTCAATTTTCTTTGACAGAGTTAGAGGCTTGCTGGCACTCAGTGGTCTAATGTCAGGACCGAGTCCAGCCCTTGAAGGCTTCATAAAGAGAGATTTAAGGCTGCATCCAAAATTAGGACCCTGGATTGGGCAGAACTCTGTGCCATGCCTAGAAACTCTCACAGCCGTCTCCTGTTTGTGGGGACTTTGACATTAGTGATTGTTTCCAATTGGACGTCAAGCTCCCTTTTCCTTGTTTAAATTAAAACTCAAGGTAAACTACTCTCTGCTCGCCAATCTGACCTTCCTAGGGCGACACTTTGTATCCATAGCACGCTGGGTGATTCAGTACCAAAATGGTGTCAAGTGGACATTTTTCCTAAACGGGGCTTGCTCTAAGCCAATCATCAACATATTTCAGCAAGACCTTCTTCTCTTCCAAGTGCAGACCTCTTCAGTCTTTACTCAAATCTCACCAAGAGTGGTGGTGGTGGTGGTGGTGGTGGTGGTGGTGGGGTGGGGTGGGGGTTAAAACCCTGAGACAGCGGAGCAGCATTGGAAGATGGCTTTTGCTCCCAGGACAAAAGTTCTTTAATTTCTCGCCATTCAAAAGCAAACAGTAACTGAGAAGTGCCCTCCAGTGGGATACAAAAGAAAGCATGCTTCCTGCTTCAGGTCTAATACCGAAAGCTGTTGGTGATGCCCAGGTATAAGAATTGATATAGTACAAGGATTTGGCAGAGCAGGGTGAACATGTTTGTTGCACAATGTTATCAGTAGCTCTCAAGTCCTGAAGAAATCTGTGCATGAGGCTTACGTCCTGGCAGAACTGGGATATTGTAGTGTGACCAACAAGAGCAAGTTAGTCCACACTGAAGAAACTTCTCTAACACTGGCTGCACTCCTTCTAACACCTCTGTATTGTTCTTCTAAGGTACAGTAGCTCACTCTTTAAACTCAGCGTTTACTGGGTGGTCACTCACAGTTGCACCCAGGGCTCCATCTGTGCTGTCTCATAGGTCTCAGAGGGAAAGGACCCCTCTGCTGTTTCCTCCTTGTGACTAAGCAGCTTCTGCAATCTTATGGCTTGTTCTAGTGCAACCTGTAGGTGGAGCTGCTGTCTTTT